AAAAAAAAAAAGGTACCACATGGTCCACATCTGTAGTATAGTAACTGTACAGCTTTGTATAAAGTTTTGTTGCTTTTGTCTTACTCAATTACTATCTCTTTTCCTCAATAAATGGCTATGTTTTTCAATTATGGATGTCTTGTGCTAATCTCTGAGATATGTTCGCAAGGGACACGACTATCCAGTATTGTTCAATCCACTTACCAATCGTCCCATAGATTGTCCTTATGATGCCAAGGAAGTCCAGAAGTTCGCCATGCACAAGCTTGTCGGAGTGCCAATGGTACGCATCCATTCCCAATTCTTGTCTCCTATTCGTCGTATTTCTGCTAACTGTCATGGATATATATTGCTGTTAGCACAACATTTTCGATTCTGCGTGCAATTTCTTGAAATGTATGTAGTTAAGCGACTTCAAGAATCGAGTTACACTAGCTGCCCGTATTGATTTTGTATGCAGAAAGCTGAGGAAAACCCCTTTTCGATGCTGAGGAAATGGTATGATTTTGGTAAAATGTTAAGTGTTATACCTTCTTTAACAGTAGAAGCATTGACTATGATATTAGAGTATATAAATATCCTGATTTAAGTCTCAAAAAACAAAAAATAAAAAATTGAGCAGGGAACAAATACTTACGCGACCATCTCTTAACTCGAATATGACTGAATCTTCATTGAATGGAATTGGTCGTGTAGACGCTACCTGTATATAAATTCATCAGGAAATACTAAAATAGTATAAAATCATGAATCTGATAATCAATGCAGATTAGGACTAACCTTTAGATCACAGTTTTTGTTTGTAGCTTGAAGGTTTTCTTCAACTTTCTCAAAACTAGCATCAAAATCTTTGTCTATACAAATTTCTTCATCTCTTGATTTTTCTTCGACCTGTCTCTCATTGTTATCGATTTTATTTCCTAGGTAAGGAAAGCCACAATCCCTCCATTTCCATGTTCTTTGATCGAAGTACCTTAAATAAACATTACCATCTGAACCTATTAAGAACAGTTCAGTTCCTCCAAAACAAGGTCCAGGTGATCCAACCAAGGTCACATTCGTACATGGAGTTCCATGTTCTATCCAGTTCCAACCATCATATGGATTCCATTGATATTCCACGAGTCCCCCCTCGTCAGAAAGCATGAAAATCGAGCCCTTCAACGACACTGATGATGATCTCGTAGCAGTTCCAGGGGATCTTGATAGAACTAAATGTTGGGATTGGTAATGCTCGTGCCATAGTTCCGTAACTTTGTTGTATTGGTATAGACGATTGTTTCTCCCGATAATGAATACTATGTTTTCTCTGAACCCTTCTTGATCTACTATATATGCAATTTTAGTATTTGGAGGATTTTTGCAGTCTTTCCATTTGAACTTCCTCAGTGCAACCTACACAGAAATATAAGTATTGATTAGCCTTCTCTATGGATGTTGATTATTTTTCCTAAAGTAACTTAATTTTACTAACTTTGTAAGTCTTAACTTACTGAGAATTGTAATAATCTCCCAGTTTTGCTAACAAAGAAAATTGCATCTTCTGCTTTAGCTTTTGGTGCTCGTCCTGGTACATTGTCCCATGGTGGACCCCCAACTACTTGCTTTCCTTTTCTCATAGCAGTGCAATTTATCCATGTCAGATCAGTGCTGTTTCTTTCTCTGATAAGCAAACTCCCATTCTCATCGACCAAAAAAATGCTTCCGTTGTAGGTTCCGAGTGCACCTTTCATTGCAGTTGGATGCTCATGCCTCAGCCAGAACCATACATTTTCTGTATTCAAATATTCGAATGTCAACCCGCTGTCTGTAATCAGAAAAAATGATTTGCCTCCCTGCATTAGTCGGAGGCGAAAGTTCTTGATCCAGTTATCTGGGATATTATACTCTTCCATTGAAATTGCTGACATACTATTATCTGGTGCACCTACTGATAAGTAATTCTGTTGGGGATTTACGTCCTTTCGCCTTCTTGAACTCGATCTGGTATTAGCTACACCATTTAACTCATCTTTTGTGCCGATGATGCAATTTGATGGCCCACGATCTTCCGCACAATACTCTGCATTCCATCCTTCAGTTTCTGGGGCGTCTAATACTGACCAAACATACTTGTACGATTGTTTTCTCCGGGTATAAACCTGAGAGTTTGGGCCTAAATTTTCGCCGCCAAGGCCTAATAAGTGTAGTTCTGCAAGCCTGCCGTCGTCCAGTGGGAAAATCATCCTCCCAACTTGTAAATGTAGACCTGCAATACCTCTAGCAGCTTTTCCATTTGGAGGATGCATATGATTCGCCCAATTCTCTTTGGCTTCTTGATCTGATAGGAACATCCTTAGAAACTCCAGCTGAACATCGTACTAAAGGGGAAAAAAAATAAACATACCTGAATACTTAGGAATTTGATATTCGAAAATGGATCCGGCTGCTGTTGTAAGAAACAACGAGTTCGAATTCTCATTATATTCATCTTGAGATATGCAAGTGATGGATGACAGTAGATGGCCTTTAGGATTTCCATGGACCACCCACTTCCATTTCCTCTGGTGTAACCGTCTTTCGACCAACTCTCCTCCCTTGATGGATACCATATTTCATTCGATAAACAGAAAAAAGAACACGTCAATTCAAGTAATTCGCTAACTATTGTCTAAGAGTTCCCATTCCTACTGTAACATATTATACCTTTGTTAAGAGAAAGAGAGATACTGAGTGAGCGCCAATTAGTCCATGTAAACTGCATCCCCTAAATGGAGCCAAAAATGTATCCTCTCTCGATTGTTCTCTTCGAATGTGCTTCTTCCATGGAGGTTTTGATGTCTGATCATATTCATAAAGATCCCCTGCAGCACTGTGAGCTCGAAATTGAGAAATTCAGTGTAACCGTCTTTCGACCAACTCTCCTCCCTTGATGGATACCATATTTCATTCGATAAACAGAAAAAAGAACACGTCAATTCAAGTAATTCGCTAACTATTGTCTAAGAGTTCCCATTCCTACCGTAACATATTATACCTTTGTTAAGAGAAAGAGAGATACTGAGTGAGCGCCAATTAGTCCATGTAAACTGCATCCCCTAAATGGAGCCAACAATGTATCCTCTCTCGATTGTTCTCTTCGAATGTGCTTCTTCCATGGAGGTTTTGATGTCTGATCATATTCATAAAGATCCCCTGCAGCACTGTGAGCTCGAAATTGAGAAATTCCTGCTTTTTTATTGTCTACAACGGCTCAAAATACTACTACTCAATTCTTAGACGCCATGTTTTTCGCGCTTAGACGAGAAAGACCCAAATCTCACCTTACAGTGAACAATACTCCGGCCCTAATTGTAGCAGCATCAACTATTGCTGCAACATTTGCACCAGGAGGTCGTCCATGATTATCCCAACTTATTGCATAGATGAAAAAAAAAAAAAGTGATTATGGGAATCATATTTAATTATTGAGGCTATTAACTTAGCCTTCTTGATATATCTCACCTCGGAGGATCGACCCCTTTAAGTTCCAACAATGATCCATTCTTTGTGCAGAGAAACATTGTCCTAGGCATTACGGGGCAAAATAAAAGTTCTGTAACATAAGTAAACTTTGTTTCCACGGGACGATTATTCCTATGTAAGTTTAAAACAGGAGAATGAATTGGCTCGACTCACTCTCTGTCCTGCGAAGTAACTCCGGAAGCAAGTAAAACTGCTGAACTTTGGTCTGTTTCTTTAACTGGGCTCTGATCAAATACCGGCATGAATTCAATCCAAATTGGCTGCGAATCTTCTGTCAGCTGCATCTGTAAGGAAAAACAAATTTTTTTTTTTCATGTTTCGTACTGGACAAGACTGGATAGTAATAGAATTATTACCTGATATAAAGTCCCTGCCTCAGATAGAGCAAGAATTGTATGATTAACCATGAATACAGAAACTGCATAGCCTGCTGATACTGGCAAATCATGGGGTGCAATCACCCACTGTAGTCCATTCCAAAATCTCTCGTAAATCGAACCACTTTCACCGGTAACCCAAACAGATGAATCAGACATTTTTGTCAAAGAAACTCTCCTTCGCAATGGAAGAATCGCGTAAGAACTTTCATTTAGTTCTCGTTTATTCTCCTCTTTATCTTCTCGCTCCTTCTCATCAGAAACATCAGATTCTCCTTTCTGATCTTCGTTCTTTGTGTTCATTTGCTTGATTGTATTCACTATAGTACAGTTATCATCGATGCAAGAAACTAGATCATACGGTAGTTTCACTTCCACCCATGTGTTGGATTCTTCTTTGAACTCCCAAAATCGATTCGATTTCTGCTCAAACTTTTTATCAGGTTTATATTGATGCATATAGCAAGATTCACAATCAGCAACAATAAGACTGATCAAAGAAAAGACAGAGCAAAGGAACATTATTTGATACAAAATTGACATGGCTACCAGTTTATGACATGAAATTCCCCTGAACAATCATATGGGCCATATCAGATGGACTAAACTACAATAACAATTCAAAGGACACCCCAAGTACATAACAAGAAATGAATAAAATTCAGATACTGGCTCTTTCAAGGGAGAAGAATAGAAGGGGTGGGGTGATATATACATAAATACCTACATAAATAAATAAATATATTTATGTGGTAGAGGTAGTCCATGTTCATGACTACTTTTGCATTAAAAACCAATGCCTTTATCGTCGACTCTCAGGGTAATAATGTCATTGCAGTGAAAGTAAATTTTGATGGTGGTGGTTTAAGTCACTTTTGATTATTTTGCAATGAATAAAGTCACTTAATCAAACTTAAAAATAGGGAGTGAAGAAATAGATTGATATGTCATAAAATAATTGGGTGTTTTTGTTTTAATTTTTCAAACTACTCAATCATGTATCGACACGTGTTCCATTTTAATTTAAGCTTGGATTTGAGTCTGAACGTGTAGCATAATTGTTTTGCAATCTTCATGTGCTTTTTTCTTACCTAAACGTGAAGACTTTTTAATCCCAATTTATGTTCAGCTTATTTTTATCAAAATGGGATTAATAATTGTGGAAACTTTCCCTCAAAACTTGAAACTTGCATAAGCACAAAGAATGGGATTCACTTTTTTATTTTTCTACTTAAAGGATCATATTCCCAATATTGAGGTGACATAACAAATAAAATCTAAAGGCGATTCCATCTCCATCGATATGCGTTTCTTTAATTTAAGGTTTGCTTGACAAAGTTCTTGATAAAAATAAAAAAAATTAGCAGATTTTAATTTAAAAAATGATAAGATTTTATGATTGAAAAGTCGATAAAAATATGAGGATCCCATGAAACTTTTTTTTAAAATTAATTGTTGACTTTAATCTCAACTTTTAAACTTTTCCAAACAAGCCCTTAGTATGTCTATCTCAATCAACTTGCATGTCATTTGAGTTAGAATTATTTTACAAGGAATTGTTATTATCAAATGATGCAATACATCACTAACTCTGGAAAAAGTCATCAGAGATATCAATCAAGAAATAGAACCATCAAATTCGTATCTTCATATGCCGTAATACACACTTCAAGGTATACTCACACGGAAAAAACTAGTTTGTCAGGGAGCAATTAACCAGACTTCATACATGATACTCAAAATGGAATGGACCCCATGTGGGACCCTCATGTAATAAAAAATTGCAAAAAAATGTTAGCCCACCACATTGTGAGAGATCTGTAAAACCGCTATAAATTTTCTCCCAGGGTATTGAAGCATTGGTCTACTCACACATAATATTCAACAAAATTAAATCGTAAGGTAAACTATTCATCTAAAAATTTGACAAGGCAACCCATCATATGAAATTGAAACGTTTGAGCCCCGTTATTTTCTCATTAAAATAAAAAATATGACCGTTATTCATCACATCAAACTACCACATTTGATTTTTTATTTCTTGTGTGGGGCCTATAACGACTATATTTTTCATTCTCATTTTTACAATAATATGGCTCAAACGGGAGCTGAGTTTCTTACACATTTATCCGAGAACTTTGGGTGCAAAGACTAGAGTTCTTTGTCTAAAATTTATGAAGTTGAGACGTGTTTATTTATTTAAATTTAATCTTTAGAGTCATTGTCCGACCATAATGGATCGGGATTTTCTTGGAGGTATGTGATAGGAAAATAGAAAAATGGGGTCCCATTGGGGAGTGAAAAAGGGGTTAAGCTCAAAATGCCTTGTAGATTTATGGAATCTTGTGGGGGTAGGCTGCCATGTCCATTGGCTCAAAGAATCTACAAAATTAAAAAATATGTGGCTTCAAAAGATTCTAATTTCATTTATTATAGACGGCTCGATTGACTTTGCACATTTCTCCAAATTGTTCGTTTATATTATAATTACAAGTGTTTGGCGCATATTCAAATCGTGACGCAAACATCCAATACCTTCTTTTTAATGAAATTAGTCCTTTTGGATGGTTTTCAATTGTATCAAAATTTTTTTTATTAAAAATACTAAAATATCCTCAACTTTTATTAAATAAATAAATTAAGTAAAATATATTTTGAAAATACGACAAAAAGATATCAACCATTATCTCATGGATTGCTGTAAAAATTGTGCCCTTTAAGCAAAACAGAAGGTGTTAAAAAAATCAGCTAATGTAAGTCGATAAAGATTTCATCGAGATGATGTAATAGAGAAAAATGAAGACTTTCGACATGACGTTAATGTCTAATAAGTAAATACTCAAGTTCAAAATTTGATTTTCAGTTCATTCTATCATTTTCTATTTATAATAACAAATTTAAATTTAAATTTTCACATGGAATATAATTTTTTTTGAGCGAGCATTTTTAGCGGATATTTAGAAAATATCTTATTTTTCTTTGTTACATCATCTTGATAGAGTTCCTATTAACTTGCATGGAAGATGAACTTTTTTAAACACGTTCTAATTTACTTATACGACAATTTTTATACAATCTACTGTTAAATAGGGGATGCTTGGAGAACTGGTTGATAGGATAGTTGAATTTTTTTGCATCATAATTTTTATTTTTATTTTCCCACTCATTTTAATATATTTATTTAACTATAGGTGAGGACATTTTAGTATTTTTATCAAAAAAAGAAAAAAGAAAAAAGGAAAACCTTTTAGACATTAAATTCAATTCCAACCATTAAGGTTAGAATTATTTACACAGCAACCTTGTAGATAAGAGATCATTTTTTAAAGACTAATAGTTGCGTTTTTAACTTTAGGTTAACATGATATGTACCAACTATAACTTAGCTCATGTTTATCTATCATTAAAGTAGGAAAATGAGCCCCTCATGGCACATCCCAACTGGTAAAGATGAGGGTGCTTCAAGGCTGGCAGATCAGAGGTCGTAAGTTCGATTCCTGGAAGGCTCTTGGAAGGCAGATATTCTCCTGGAAGGCAAAGTGCAAAGATGGGAAACAACTTGTTTGGCACTTTAGCAGATCAGTTGGGAGGCTCTTGAGCACTGGTCAACTTGGGGCACAACCTGCGGTTTAACCTGTCTGCAGTTCGAGGGGTCAAGGTGTAGACTCCAAGATTTAGTCACTGTAAGATGGATACCTGGATATAAAAAAAAAAAAAGTAGGAAAATGAGTTTTGGAAGGGTTGTGCTGCTTGGACAACCAGCAGTGCTCAAGCACACCCGGTTGTCTAGGGGGTTGTTCAAGCAGTATAATTTGTTTTGGAATAATAAATTTTTGGAGAATGTGTAGTCAAAAAATAGAAAAATATTTTAAATTTACGTGCAAAAAATTTTATTGTGAGAATGGGCGGTGGAAAATGAATTTTGAAAAAAAGAAAAAGAATTTTAAAATATTGATCGAGGAACAGGATCTTATCCCTGCCAATTTAAGGATCTTAATTCTTAAATAGTAATTGTTGAGCTATTTGAATTTAGACATTTATTTTGAAATTATTTCAATTCAATGACAAGGTAGCCTATTTCTTTGACACCGTCGCACGCTTATGGATCTTGTATTCTACTCATGACATGATTGATGCGTCGAAAACATTCTTGTTACCCTTTTTGTTTATCAAAATCTAATTTTATTCAATGCGTGTTTGACAACTATTAATTTAATTTATAGTTAACTACAAGATCATTTTCAACTACATATTCACATAATAAAATATTCTATATTTATACGAAAAACTTTTCTTTATTTTTAATTACACATTCTCCTAAAAATTATTATTCAAAAATTAATATTTTGAAATTGAAGGATTCTAGTAAAATATTCTGTCAAATTATCCGTTCAATTAATGCACGTGACATGCAGCAAGAAACGGATTTTGATATTCCACTTTTGCCCTTGCCTTGAAGGACGGAATGTCCATTTTACAGTGTTTTCATTTCCCCTAAAATATTTTCATGTTTCCAAACAAATATGTTAGGGGTAATTCGATCATACACAAGGATATTACTTGATGAGATGAGAGCCAAGAAGGCAAAATTTTAATAATCGCTCTTCCAACCAATGGTAATAAAAAAAAAAAAAAAAAAAAAAAAAAAAAAAAAAAAAAAAAAAAAAAAAAAAAATTTTTTTTAAAAAAAAAAAAAAAAAAAAAAAAAAAAAACTACCTCATATGAGCGTTAAATATATTAATCACAAATTTCCATTTTTTTGGTAGCAAACAATAACATTTCTTTAGGTCAAAAGAATAACATTTTTTGTTTCTTGAATAGCATTTGGGCAACTAATGCATTTATTTCGCCCTACACATATATGGACGTCCACTTTGATGTCAATTGAAAAAACCTTTTACCCGAAAAAGGACATGTTTATCTTTCCATCATATGTCTGATGTGTAGGACAAAACCTGATCTCATAATTTTTATATATTGTGATATAATGTTAAACTATATCGTTTAAAAAAAATTAAATTATCTAAATATTAATTTTATTTAATTAAATCTTGTTAGTGACAACATGCTGGATTGATGGCATGGGGCGATTGCTATCTTGGAGGCGACCAGAGTTGAAATCGCAAAGCCAAACGGGCATGATGGAGTCCATATATATTTATGTGCATGGTGGTGGTGGGGTGAAACAAGGAGGAAATAGTGGCCAACGGCCGGTTGACCCGGCCATTTTTTCAAAACGGCCTTTGACCAAAAAAAAAAAACAAATGGTGAAAATGCAAACAAAAGCCAAATAGTCGAAAATACCCTCAAATAAAAAGAAGAGAAGAGGAAAGGAAGAGAAAAAATGAAAAAGCAAAATCTCATTACTGAGACCGAACGACTCGGATTGAAGCATCGCTGGAGATCATCATTTCTCAAAGGGTTTAACTTTTTTCTTATTCTTCATTAAAATATTTTTTTTTGCTGTTAATGTTTGAAAATTGAAAATTTGTTTATTGAATATGTTATGAGTTAAAAACAAATTTTGAAGTTTATTTATAGTTAAAATGGAAGAAAATATCGAATTTGAGATTCAAATGACTTAGAAAAATGAAAAAAGGATTGAAATTCGTCGAAAATGGAGTTTTACTACGACCAGTGAGTTCTCGTAGAACCGGGTCTGGAGCATTCGAATCCGGACCATCGTACATTCTGTAACGGACCCTAG